TGTGGGTTTTATTATATTTGCTTTTGAAAATAAGAATTTCAGACATATAACTTCTGTCTTATATTTAAGGGTGGGTGGTCATATACTAGCTTCTCTGTGCTGCCATACTGATGCATATACGTTTACTTCTGTTTACAGGTGCAGACAAAACTTCTTAAGCTGAAAGAATTGGAAAATAACCAATTTAGTTGGCACTCTCAGCCACATAATACACTTGTTAATGGAACTGCGGATCATTCTAGTCTTAGCAACAGCAGCAGTGAAACTGCTAACCTTAATGAGAATGCTGAAAGGGAAAGTATAGCAGAAGATGAACAAATAAACAGTGTGTCTCCAGTGAGTAGTGTTTTGCCTGCGTGATCATGATGCAATGCAGCTGTGAAGTTGGAATAAGTTAAGACTGTATCAAGATTGATTATGTTTTTAAACACTTGCACAAGTGAAATTTCAGGGTGTTATTCTGAGGGACTACGTTTCAGCAATCTGAAAGCTGATAAGCAGAAAAGGAGGCAATTTTAGCTTGGCTGGAAAGTGGCAATAAAATTTTTTCTGTATTTGTTTCCAAAGCAAAATATCATAAATTGAATAGTAGAATTAACATTAAAGGAGAGCAGCTGTCTCCAGTTGGTGCAACAAGAATGGAATAAGGAATAGTACAGAAAATCTAAAGCTGTCCTGCTTTAAATGTCCGTCCTTATGTCCCAGTAGATTCTTGATTTTTTTTTTTTTTTTTTTTTTTTTTTTTAAACCTTAGCAGGGTTTATGGAACACTTCTTCAGTATGTTCTATAAGTATGAACCTCTTGAAGTATCCTTTAATATATTCTTTTAGCTATTCAATACTTAAAGCTATATTCTGTAGTCTTCTATTTACTTACTTACCGAGAATTGCTTTTATCCTATGTAGATAAGGAATAGTCCTGAAACAACAGCCTCTGTTGTGGAAGAAGAGAAAGAGACCCCAGCTGCAACTATTACAAAAAAAGTGAGTTTGTTCAGGTTTGGGGGAGGAAAGAGTAAATTAAAAAATTCTAATAAGACTGCTTCAGGCTTGCATCATGGTCATAGAACAACAGAGAAATAAAATTGTCACCTCTTACTGTTTTTATTTAGAGTGTGACGTCATGAAAACATTTGATCTCATAAAGCAGGCAGGTTGTTTTTGAGAAATGTTTTGTATCTCCATTGATTAATTAAGTAGAATTCTAGCTGTCTCTTTTCCAATGTCGAGAAACTACTAAATCATAACAGAAGATGACATAAGTGTTTTCTGTCCTGTGTGTCTTAAAAATTTAATACCTTTCTCTACTTCTTTTGCATTACCTAGGAGGATCCATTTGATGCTGAATCTCATCCATTGCCTGATCTAGTTTCTGAAGCCAGCTTAGAGTTCTTCCAGTCTGACCCCTTTGTTGGCAGTAAGTAAACTTTTCTCTCTAAGTGCAGATTTGCAGAAACATGTCTTGTACGAATGCATCTCAGACTAATCTTCATCTTGGAACTGCTCTTTATAGACTAAATCTGAAGGTGTTTGAGTGACAGGAGTGTGGAGCCAATAGCGTTACAGAAATGGAAATGAGAGTTCCAGGATGTTTCTCCTTCCTTCATCTGGATTTTCTAATTAGCTGTGAAAATTGCATCTTTCCCTCACCTCTCTTACCTCTCCCCCTAATTTGCAGCACAGATCTACAAACAGATCAACTGAGGGTTCAGTGAGCTGTGGTGTGGGGAGGGTGTGGGTGGTTGAGGATGAATGGCTGTGCCCTACTTATGGTGAGTTTGGCACTCAGAAAAAGGTAATGTGGAACTGCACCATCTGTTTGTCTTGTGGAAGTGCTATGCTTTATTTTAAGAACTTGCCACTTACGAATGCTGTTGCTCTGATTTTATTTTTTTCTTTTATGTTGGAAGAAGTGATCTGTCTATATGGAGCCACTTGGAGAAGGGGAGTTAATTTGGATTAACTGCTGAAGCAGATGTTTTCAGCCACATTAATATGATTTTACATGCTTTCAGAATCAACATGGTCGAATCAATTTAGCTCGTATTGCTTCAAAAGGAAAATAAGCTAAATGTTTCAGATCACTTGGCTTCTGAAAGAATGTTAGTGCAGATTTAATACTTTTAATGAATAAATTAAACATTTAAAATGCCTCAAATGTTTCTGTGTAGATATTGCTTGGTTTTTGTTTATATTGAAGTGATCCTACTTAAAGCACATGACAGCCTTTTTTTTCAGAGGAGAAAGGTATGTCTGCTAGTAGCCAACCTTTTGGGCTTTGTGTGCTCAGTATGTTCAGGGCTAGATACCTACAGCTAAGAGACAGTATATCTGTGTCTCTCCACTGTAGATGAGTCAGTAGAACTGATGCAATTGAGACCATGCATCCAGTACAGAAACGCTTAGGAGCTACCATCCATGACACCTGTGAGAATTATCAAAACTGGGACTAAGCTTCTGTCAGTGGTTAGCCTGGATTTCCATGGTAGTAAATACTGCATAATGTGGGTGCTTACTGACAATAGCCAACACAAATGTGTCTTTGAGATGACTACTTTGTGTGTGTTTCATGCTGGTAATGAGCTACTTGATGAATATTTGTTTCCTCTAATGCTAGCTCTTGTAGTTCCACTGAAAAGAGTGAAACTATTCCTCTGAGCGGGAGTTGCTTAAATTCTACCTGTAGAAATAAGTTTGTGTCCAAAAGACTTCAACTCAGTACATGCTTTATGATAAAAAGCCACAAGTCACTTTTTTTTTTTTTTAAACAGGTGATCCCTTCAAAGATGACCCTTTTGGGAAAATTGGTAAGTAACTTGTAACTTCTAATGTGTTTGTTTTTCTAAATGAATCCTGGGGAAAAGTGTCACCACTTTCAGCACAAAAAAGGTAGAAATGACCCAAAAAGTCACCATAGGATGGATAGATAGCCAGCCAGTTGTGTTAAAGCTTTTTAGAGAAGCCCATTGCCAGTGAACTTCTCTCTTGCTGCTGGAAGTCTCCTTAGTTGGGATTTAAGTATGTGAAGGTGGTAAAGGCCCCAAACTCTTGCTGCTTGTTTTATATGCAAAGTAGTAAGACTGTACTCTTTAAAGGCTCTTAACTTACCAACTTTCTTTAGCATTAAATATTGGAAAAGGTGGGAAGTTTCTATTTAGACTGGCTGTATAGGCAATGTCATTGCGTTATTTGCTTGGTCCTGAATGGAGTCACTGGTGACAAAAAAGCAAAACGGCCAGTAGCAAGGCTATAGCAAAATAGCATTGTGCACCAAGTGCCAAATAAGAAAGCTTCAATTGTGTTTGGGGAGTGAAAGAGAGGAGGCTAGGAGAGTTCTGAAAAACATTAGGTTTTGTAAAATGCTTCATTTTTCGGGGGGCTTTGTTAAAGAACCTATATGTTCAGATGATTCTGAAACTGGACTACTGGCACCATCCAAAGTTTTCATGATGTGCAGAAAACGTTGGCTTGTCTAATATTTTGAATCACGGAATACAAATTATTTACAGATGAATTTCATGCTTCAAAGATCCTTGGTCTTAAATGTGTCACCTTCTTGCAGTATGAGAAAAGCAATATAATGTTTAGTTTTTAGGATATCGAGCTAAGTAAAGCTGGCAGAAATGTTAATGAGATGCTTACTTTTTAGATCCCTTTGGTGGTGATCCCTTCAAAGGCTCAGATCCTTTTGCAGCTGACTCTTTTTTCAAACAATCCTCCACTGATCCTTTTGTGACTGCTGGCACTGATCCATTTAGCACTGCAGACAACAGTAGTAATATCACAGTAAGTTTGATAGCGTACCTTTTACTTCCTTCTATATATAATTTGGACAAAATAATCTATTTTGTACATTTGGACATGCCTTGAAATGCTCATATTCAGAAGCCATAGAGATAAAAGGTCACCTCTTACCCCATGGCTCTGTCTTGTCTTTTTTTTTTTTGTATCCTATTTTCTAGAAACAGTCACAGATAAAATAGAAGTAAAAAATAAAAACAAAAAAAAAAACATTTTTAAAATGTTTGTGTGGAGCTTCACTGCTCCACAGATAAGAACATTTGAGAATAATGAACTAAGCTCTATTGGTAGCTGGTGGAACTTAATAAATGTTGAAAGAAACCCAAGATTAATCTTACCAAGTTATGTTGAGACACTTGATTTTTGCCTCCTAAGCTTATAGGATCAATGAATATGTTCTGTATCTTATCTGAAATTTGATGTGGTATGGGGTTTCCCCTCTGAAAAGTCAAGTTGTTCTATAGGTGTATGTTGTTTGGGTTTTGTTGTGTTTTTTTTTAATGAGAGTCATTGAAGCCTTCTCATAATGTGGAGATTTTTACTGAATGTACCTCTTTCAAGTGTACTTAGGTGTAACTTTTAGCTGTTCACATTATAACTGAGCAGTTATTGATTAATCTTGAACCTATAAGAAGGTAGAGTTGGGCATGAAACTTCCTCTGATGTAGGATAGAGCTTGATGAAGATGAGGTAATACTTAGGGCTGATAGACAAACACTTAATCTACGAAGCTGAAATTTTGTCTCCATCCTTTTGCCATCTGCTTTCCTTCTCAGTGCTGCTTCTGTTCATGCTTCACTTCCAATTTTGTTTGTGTATAAAATATGTGTATACATATATAAAAATTAAAGGTGTGTGGATTAGGATTAGGAAATTAAGTGGCTGTAGAGTGTGCCTGAGGCAAACCCACAACAGCCAAGATAGTGAGAAATCACCGCACCTGACAGTGGTGGTGGTGTCCTTCCACATGGTGTGCACATTACGCAGATCTCAAGGTGTGGTACATGCCACAGCCTACACCTCCAACTTTAAAAATTAAGTTTTCTACAATCTTCAGTACTTAATCAGCACACTATCCTTTGCCAAGTCTTAATATTCTAATATAATGAATTCTTGGTCATATTACAGTCTGCTAATAAGAGAAGTACAGTGTGAGATTAGCAGTTGATTCTTGTGAGATCTGTATTTCTGAACTGAATTTAAGTTATGCATTCGTCCTAAATGCTTTACCACACCTTTGTGGTGTTGATATCTTGTAGTTATATTTTCATGAAGATGGCTTTGGTTGTAGAAATCTGAGATCAAAATGAGTGTTAGATATTCTTAAATTTTGTGTTAGTGGTTACCAAGTATGTTGCACATATTGTACCTTTTTTCCATCCTTTGAAAGTATTAATCACTGTTCTGAGGAGGATTTTCTGTTAACAGACTTGTTTACTGATGCTGATAAAAACTATATCCAAAATACTTTATCTTAAAACTTCTAAACTGAAATAAATCATGGTTGTATTCTTAGACTGAGGAATCTTTTAAGCTGAAAAACAAATTCCCCTCCAAAGGATTTTTTTTTTTTTATTTTAGACAGAGATATCAAAGAAGAATGACCCTTTTGCTCCTGGTGGAACAACTGTTACTACATCAAATGATCTAGGTAAAAGTAGATTATACACATCAGACTTCTTGGGTTTTATTTTTATGTGCTTTTGCTTATTTTTGTTTCCAGTCTTTCAACTGAATTTCTGATGGAGCATTTTAGGGTTTTTCCTACATTTTCTGAATTTTCTTACGAAGTATGACGTAAAGTGCACGTTTGCAGGGGGGTATTTTTATAAAACAAAACTGTCTCATTGTCTTTAGTGCATATCACTGAAGAATGATTCTGCAAAAATGTTCCTCTGCCTTACCTGCCTCACCTTACTGGTGAAATATCCTGATCTAAGTGTTTGGACTATTTGAATGGTTTGTACTGCTGCCCATTAGGGTTGTTTTTAGACATTTCGTGTTACTTTCTAAGTAACATACAAGATAGCTTTGTACTACGAGAGGAGACGTGGGATGGAATAACTACTTCATCAAGAATTTTTACTGTTAAAGCTTGCTCCTTTCATTTTGCTATGACACTCCCTCATTTGAGGGCTAAAGATGTTTTAGGGAAGACTCTAATCCACTATTTTGCTAAGTTGCACTGACAAGTGGTAATCCAGAACATGAATCCATGTGTGATTTCGTATTGCAAACCTGTTCAGTTTATTTGTAGGAAAAAACCGCCATTTTCTGGAGGTGCAGAAGTAAGTGTTGGTAAAGACAGTGCCCTTCTTGCTTTACAGTAGAATAGCAGTTTTTCCATATTTTGAGGCACATAAGAATGAACGGGTACTGTTGAATTAAGATTATGTGAGGTTTAGATACTTTATTCCACAAGTGGGCCTACAGTCAGAAGTGAGCTCTTGTTCATGTTCTTATATATATCTGTATATGTCTGTGTATGTATATTTATGTGTGTATGCACACAAAAAATACCTCTGTGTGCATACATACATGTGTCTCAGGAGGACATCCAGTAGTATGGTTATTTGATACTTTCAGTGAAATTCAATTTTTTTTAATCTAGGAAACCAGAATACCAATACTTCTTTTGAATTACTCCCTATTCAGGAGAATTATTATTCTTAATCAGTAGTTGGCAGTTTTTGTAAAAGCTACTTAATAACTTAAAGTGCCCACCTCATAAAATGTTTCACTTGAATTAGTCTATGCTGCAAAATATGTAACAGTTGCTTTTTTGTTCTGGTATCTTTTTCAATCTCTTTCATATTTAACTTTTAATCTCATTCTGTTTGCGTGATTTGTATTTAGCTACAGACCCCTTTGCCTCTCTGTTTGGAAATGAATCCTTTGGAGGTGGCTTTGCTGACTTTAGCATGCTGTCAAAGGTAATATGAAGTTACTGCTACTCATAGAAAATGCATGAAACTGCAGTGACAAGACATAGCTTAGTCTTTCTACCAATAGTTTCATTAGCTTTGCCACTACTAAAAATTTATAATGGCTGACTTTCTTGAAAAAGAGGTCTTTATTATAAATTGTTCTGCAATTCTATTGTGAAGAATGCAAGGTAGTCTTTGCAGCTTTATAAGTATTTTCTCTATGTTTGAAGTGATATTATAATTATTTTTTTAAATTCACTGAGTTTAACAGCAGAAGTATTACTATTGCATATATAACTGCACTCAACTTTATACTGCTGTACAGACTAACATTCCTGATTTTTCTTTATCTTCAATCTCCTGGAGTATGTGGATGATATGTTTAAAACCAAACAAAAGTATTTTCTTTTTGTCTCAGTCCAAACTTCCAGTTCTAAATAAATATTGCATTATTGAAAAGAAGGGAAAGTATTAGTAGAATTGCACTGAAAATGTGTATGTTGCTGTTTTCTTTGTTGAAGGCCAACAATGAGGATCCCTTTAGCTCTTCCACATCAGGTTCTGTCAACAACGTGATCATAACTAAAAACTTATTTGAGGAACCACCAGCTAAAAATGAGGATGTTCCCCCTGCATTGCCCCCTAAAACAGGAACTCCCACAAGGCCGTGTCCACCACCACCTGGTAAGAGCTTTACTGAGACGTTAACAATTAGCTGCTTCAATATTGGCAGTGGGACAATAATTATGAGGGAATGGTGAAGTGTCTGAATTTAGAATGAATGAGCAAGATGTGAAACAAGTCTGTTCCTGATCTGTTGGTGGTTTCCTCAGAGTTAAATTTTGCATGGTGCTTGGGATCACAGTTTGTTTTGTGAAGAGAGAAAGGATTTAGAAAACAGGAAAAAATAGTTAATACAAGTATCTGCAACAACATAGCATGGCTGCAAATTAAATGGTTACTGATGTGATGCATCGTGAATCTTGCATTAAATCATGCTTAAAGTGAGAATTCAGTGTGTTTTATCTATTGCAAAACCTCTGGTTTTAATGCAAAATGAATTAAATAGGGTTACATGACTGTCTCAGGTTTTCAGGTTCACTTTTTCCAGGTGGTCTTGCCAGAGGTCTGTAGCAGTAAACCGAGCCAATGTAATACTAATAAACCCAAGTTTCCTGTGTTGTTTTCTGTTCAGTGATAGCTGAGTCCTCTGGTCTACCCCCTGACACAAACCACCCCGCTTTCCAGAAAAGGCCATGATTATCAAAGATAACAGCACCTTCTTGTGGTTGCAACAAGCCCACATTACAACAGACTCCTCACTCTCAAATTTTTTTTTTGCGTAGATTGGAAAATACATTACTATTCCTTCTTCTGTTTCATTTTCTTTAAAAACTACTGCATCATTTTTTCACTATATGGTTGAATCTTAAGGTGTTTTGGAAAATGTGTAGCATGAAACTTAAACATGTATTCATCTTTTTCCTCAAAAAAAGGGGAACACAGTAAATGTAGGATTATTAATACTGAAGTTTAAACTCGACTGTTTAATTTCTAATGTTGATGTGAGATCTGGGTCATGCTCATGCCTTGCAAGTCATCAGTTTCATTGTAAATAACATTAAAACAGCTGACATGACAAGTGATGATAATTTGAATGTTTGATAGTGTTTCCTCTTACGGTGGTCCTTATTTAAAAAAAAAAAAAAAAAGGATTTCTGAGTTCATTGTATGGGATTGGCTATGACGTGGTATACAGATCCACTTTTAGAATGCAAGGTTCTAGTGGCAGAACAACAGCATCCTTACTAATAGATGACTAGAAAAAAGTAGCCTGTTTTGATTTGCACATATTAAAAATGCTACTGCGGTTATCTTGATAACCATTCCCAATAAATTATTTTGCTAATGGAAATAAAAAATGGAGATACACCTAAGTGTATTTGTTTTCAATTAATCCCTTGGTCTGATTCAAAACCAGGGATGCTTTTTCAAAGAAATGCCCCAAAATCTTTCTCTTAATTCATCACGCTACTGGAAAGTGTGCAGAAGGGCTGTTTGCTTGCCTCTGAAATCCGTTGCCTTTCTAGATACTGATAAACACTCTCATTTAATGTTTTTTTTTGGGCAGATTTGGAGATGGTATACTTCATATTCTTATTAATCCTTCCCATGTAGAAAGAAAATTCCCTAGGTGTCATTTGAAGCTGCTCCAAAGAAGGGCAACGAAGCTGGTGAAGGGTCTAGAGCACAAGTCTTATGAGAAGCGGCTGGGGGAACTGGGCTTGTTTAGCCTGGAGAAGAGGAGGCTGAGGGGAGACCTTATCGCTCTCTACAGCTACCTGAAAGGAGGCTGTAGTGAAGTGGGAGTCGGTCTCTTCTCCCAAGTAACAAACGATAGGACGAGAGGAAACGGCCTCAAGTTGTGCCAGAGGAGGCTTAGGCTGGATACTAGGAAAAACTTCTTCACCGACAGGGTAGTCAGGCATGGGAACAGGCTGCCCAGGGAAGTGCTTGAGTCCCCATCCCTGGAGCTACTTAAAAGACAGGTAGATGTGGTGCTTAGGGACATGGTTTAGTGGTGGACTTGGCAGTGCTAGGTTAACAGTTGGACTTGATGATCTTAAAGGTCTTTTCCAACCTAAATGATTCTATGATTCTATGCTTCTCCCACATTATTCAAGAAATAGACATGTGTCATTTGCCAGTAATAGAACATTATCAGTGAGTGAGAGCTATCATGGCAAGGTTGTCTGCGAAGTGTCTAAATAAATCATATATTCCCGGGGGCTATTCTCTAAATCATTGCTGAATTAGAATCTCTTTTGGTCTATAAAAGAATTTTTAGAGTAACTTGCAACAGTGATGTGCAAAATAATAAGCACTTTTGTTCGATTCTGCAGTTCAAAATGGCAATAGAAGCAAGTTTTAAAATATGACGATTCTAAGTGTCAAACCACTTGCAGAACCCGCTAGCTGAATTCAAGAAACTGTAATGAAACCTTTTCTGTAAGCAGTAACATATGGAGAGAATGGTGGGATGAAATTCAGCTCAACTATTCTTGGAAGTATTTGGGTTAATATCCTTAAAGGTGTTGAAAGCTGACTGGGGTTAAGCTGAAAAAAAGAACAAGATAAGTGTGGGCTTGTGGCCGATTCTGTTATATCTGCAGCTACTTAGGCAAGGATTAACAAAATAGTTAAGCCTGTGATTGTTTGTTATCATACTCCTTCATTCTGTTAGTTTAAAAACTACAGAAATTCCAGGTGTTAGCATAGTGAGAAGACATGGTGTTTTGAAGACTTACAAATATATTTCTGGTCTCTGAATGAAGTTGTGTCAATTTGATCCAAACAAATAATAAAAGAGCCTTGTTGGAATGATCATGGATGGTTGATAAGCAGAAGAAAAAAATAGTGTGCTGATAGAACAGGGGCTCAAAACTGTTAGAAATTCTCTTCCCAAAATAGTTAATTAGTACGTAACTGTGTTCTTGAATCATTAACATACATGTGTTCCTTTTTACCTAGTTACCCTTTAAGGAAAACTATGGACCATGCCCTCATTTTTTTTAAATTGGCAGCCCTTCCTCTGAAGTCATTGCAACTCCACTAGTTTACTAGAAGAGATTGCATTCCAAGTAGCTTTTGAATTTGTTGGGTTTTTTTACTATTTTTGGCATGTTATTACCTGCTATCTTAAATTCATTTTAAATTCATTTTAATCTAAGGGAAAAGACCTATCAATCAAATAGACTCTTCAGATTCCTTTAAACCGAGCGATCCATTTCAGCCTTTCCCCACCCCAGACATTCCCAAAGAACAAGAAGCAGATCTATTCTGTGATCCATTTGCTCCCACCAGCATCAGTAAAGAGGCTGACCCCAACAATTTTGCAAACTTCAGTACTGTGAGTAAACACTTTTTACATTTGTTTCAGTATAATGACAGCTTTGAATTGTTCACACTGAAGTCTTCAGTCTAATTGAAAATATTAAAACATATCCCATGTAGAAAAGGGATATCGCTTCCAGTTAAAACAGTATTTACATTTAGTTTACAGCTGAGGCTGTCCTAAAATAAAATACTGCAAAATATTGTAGTTAATGTTTAAATTGCATTGCTTTTTATGAGTTTTTTCATGGAGGCCTCCTAGCTTTTAGAAAACAGTACTTTTAAAATATCTATGTTCTAGGGATTACCCATTTTATCAGAGCATGCCGCAGATTTATTTATCTATAACAAGCACACTGTTAACTATCCAATTAAAAACAAAAGGTGTGATTTTAATCTAGCTGTCACTGGACTGTTTGGTCATAATTTCAATGTACTGAAATATTAATAAACAGCCTCATAACGGTGTATGTTAATGAAATATAATTTGGTGAGTTTTGAATGGCTAGTAAATTCTAGACTTGCATACAATGAAGTAATAGGTAGTAAGAGTCTCTTTATAACCAGAATCCATTTCATAGAACTCGTGGTGTCCAAGCAGTAGAAGCAAATCTAAAGGTTTGTGCATGCCTATATATATTCCTTTTTTCTTTTGAGCTTTTGCAAATAGGAGTTTTGAAAGGCATCATCTCACTCTCAAGCTTGATACCTGTTAAATGCAATTTGCATTTACAGTATCTTGATCATACTGCTTTTTTATTTTCAGGCCTAATAAACTATGTGCTTGATTGAAGTAAACTGAGGATTGGCAGGCTCCCAAAATTGACTTGCACTGGTTGATGTGTCTTGTAGCATGATAATTTCTGAGTTGCTGTTATTGATCACTGTTATTAGTTAGAGGGACTGAGAAGCCAGTTTGGAGGAGAGAATGTGAAATGTGGAGGAGAAAGCAAAAATGTTCATTATCTTTATGAAGAAAAAGTATTCTTTTCCAGCTGCAATTACTGAAAATACTAAGTGAACTATGGAGAAAACTCAAGCTCAAAGCAGAAACTAGCTGGAGTATATTATGATAACCCTTTCAGACTTAACATTGGGACATTCATGAAGACACGGGCTTCACCTACCTCTTAGCTTTTCTGCATGCTGACTAGAAACAAACTTTAGCATAATCTTTTGTATTTCATTTAAGATAATACCCTTAACTGTCTCTGATTTATAATCATTGTACCACAGAAATTTCGTTCACATTCTGTTCACATCAATATACATGGAAAGAATCTGTTCGTTTGTTTTTTTTTTTTTTTTTCTCTTATATCACACTGACTTTTCTCTGTATTACTACTAGGCTTCTAACTGTACAGTTACCTTATTATTTTGCTGCTTCTTGGCAGAAGTATTTTTCATCTGCACAATTAAAAACAGTCATTCTACAGCTAATTTTTGTAGTCGCTGTCACCTGTAAAAATCATCCCGAATGAAAGTAGTGGAAATCGGGATGTCCCACAGTGCGGATAGGGATGTGTTTTTTGCAAAATGTTCTCCTGATTTATTAAAAATTTTTCTTAGAGAGTTGTTTTTATCCAAAATAGTTTGAATTTAAATTATAGCACTTTCTGCTCAGTAACTTTTTTGAAACTCAATACTGAATTTCGAAACATGGCATATTTCATAAAAATACATCAGTTGGATGCAGTTCTTAATAGTTAAACCTTAGACTAAGCTAATCGTAATAGTGTATTTAAAAGCAAGTAATATTTGAAGGCTAGAATATATAAAATATTTTGCAAAACTGTAATTGTCCCTTAAACCAAGTACTTGGACGGTATTAGTTATCATTGTATTATTAATCTGGTTTATTTTGTCTTTTAAAAATGCAGTATTCTACTGAGGAAGACATGATTGAATGGGCTAAGAGGGAAAGTGAGAGAGAAGAGAAAGAAAGATTGGCAAGACTAAAACAGCAAGAGCAAGAAGACTTGGAACTGGCTATTGCACTCAGTAAATCTGAAATATCAGAAGCATGAAGTTTAGAATAAGATTTTGTCTTATGTCAACTGTTTTGTCCCTTTTCCTGAATATCTAACCTATTTAAATGTTAATCAGAAAATACATATATACAAGAAACTATGAAAGGTTTTAAATTTCTGAAAGTGGTGTGAATGTTTCTGCTAAATTAAATCCTTTTGGTTATTGTTTGAATAACTTAAGTTTAGCATTCAATTTCTCTCAAGTTTTCAGGAGAACAAAGTACTTTTCCCAGCTGTAAGCAAATCGATTTAAAATGCAGATAGTGAGATTGTAGTTTGACTGTAATCTGTCAGCAGTTGGTAATTGAGCATAAAGTGAATATAGCAATTATTCTGTCATGGCTGACTGTCTCCCATCAAGCAGTTAGTCATTTGAAATCTTTTATCCTACTAAAGAGATTTTAGTAATGCCAGAGTTGTGGAGTGCTTTATTTTACGTGTATGCATATAGATTTTTCTCTTCATAGAAGATTCTACATTTGGATTTGAAATAACAATCTTCATGGAGTCTAAGTCAGAAAGAGTG